AGCGGAATTATTAAAACCGACTATTTCGAGTAACGACTATCACCTATATGGGGACAACCTCCACACACGGAGCTAATCAGGACTATTTTAATATAAGAAGGAGTTATATGGAAACTACCCTAAAAGGGAGGCGAATATTTATAATTTAGGAAGATTTATTGTCATATGCGTCTACAAAATACTAAATTTTAGCGAAACGCGCTCAAGAACCCCAAACCCGAACCCGAACCGTTATATGGGGGCTACAACAAAAAGTGTACCGATATTTATAATTTTTAGTGGAGACATTTGGTACCCAAAGAGAACCCAATCTACCAAATTTCAGCGACATCGGTTGAAAAACGCGCTCAAGAACCCCATATCATGGTGGAGGGTACAAAAATACATTGCTACTCCTCTTAGAATTTACGACATTGAATATTGGAGGTATTGTTCACGTTTGGTTATCCACCGCCATATTTATTGAAAATTTTAGCCGTATTTTCTAAACCAAGTGGCATTCTAATTTCATGGAAGACGGTTTTAAGGTATTTTGACGGTTCTAGTCAAATTTTTCAAGTGAAATAACTATAGGTAGGTATTTCGGTAAAAAATTTTCCTTTTGAAACTTTTTTTATTTAATTTAGATTTCATGTATTTTTATTGGTAAGCTGCTTGGTTTAAGAATTGGACAATGTGAACCCGACTTAATGTAAATTTCCATAACTTTCTCTTACAACCACTGCTCCTCACATATCGTTCGTTCTTCGTATAGGTGATAAATATAATTAAAAAAGCTCCGTTAATATTTGTCAGCAACAAATATCGAACTTAACCTTTATAACTTTAAATTAATTAAACCGAGGAAACAATATTTAAGTTGTTGTTTTTTTTTAATTATTCACAGTATTTGCGGTGATTTTCAACACTTGTTTACCTCCTAAACATTTTACACTCTCATCATCATCACAACAATAAATACGGAATACAAACTGATGACGTACAAATATAAAAACAACAACAGAAAGCAAATTGTTAAAATATTTAAGAAACTATAGCCAAAAGTCAACAACAAACAGACAAACAGGTCTTTATATATTGCGGCGAGCGTTTAGGCCAATGTCATGCCACTACGTTGAAATGTTGAATATTGAACTTTTTTGGTTTTGGTTTTTTGCTATTTTTCCAAAATTGTTAAAACTGTTATAAGGTCGTAGTAATGTCATTGTTATTATATGTATATGGTTATTTGTATTTTTATGTATAAAAATATGTGTTATGGGTCAATTTAATTACTTGAGAGTTGGTGTTGAGCCCGTGGTGGTGGTATTCGGTGTCAAATAGGTTTTATTGGAATTTTGATCGACATTATTATTTTCCGTAGAACCGGGAGCGGCGCATTGTTGCTGTTGTTCGGTATTACAATTATCGGCCATAGATACATTGACATCGGGCGGTGTTGATGTTCCATTGTTGGTGGTGGCGGTTGCATTTGTTGCAGCCGTTGTCCCGGCCGCATTTGCATCTGGCTGTTGGTCAAGAACAAAACGTTTGCTAGCACGTCGCTTCAACATTATGTTCAGCAGTAGTACAAAAACTACCAAAAGCATACAAATCAGGACAAACACTTTATATATATTTTTTTCGGTTATTGTCGTTTACGATTACACGAATTTTGCATTCGGAATATTAGTTTTTTTTTCGTTTAAATATAATTTTATGAGCTTTTTTTTGCTTCTATAACATGTAAAAGAAAACACACAGAAAAACAACAAAATTTAGTTAACACACAAACAATAATTTTACGCGTATGATTTCAAAAACAACACAAAAAATACACGAAATTTTTAATCGACACAAAACGAAAAATAAATAAATTTAATATCTTTTAAAGCTCACTACAACACAGCAAAACGCCGTCTAAAAAACCAAAAACAAAATAACCCGCTAAGACGTTGTAATACCAGCAAAATTCGAAATACTACTAAGCCGAACAAACAGCAGAATAGGGGAAACAACGTTAATACAAGACACAAATAAAACAACCAAGCAACGGTGATGATGACTCCCTCTTCTGTTGGGCAGTTAGGCAGGCAAACCGAATCGGCTGTTTCTCTCAAGCAGCAGCAGACAGCAGTAGTCGTAGACAAGAAGAAAAATACAACAACCAAAAGAGGTTTTGCGCATTGAGAGAAAGTTTTAGTTGACCAAGTTAACAATCAAATCGAATAAAAAAGCCCCCAATGTGTTGAAGCCACATTTTAGGCCGACACAACAATCTGAGGCCATTGTTTACATGTTTTAAATATTGATGCTGTGGACTTTGAAGTTTGTTTAACCACAACAATAAAGTAAATAAAAATTTGGAAAAAAAACCTGTCTCTTTTCGACGAGCAATAATTAATTGTCAATTGCATTTAGAGATGACGTAGCAACAGTGTATCTCCTCCTTTTAAATGAGCACAAAATAAATCGGCGAGCGGAAATTTTCATTCATAGTTTTTTCTTCTTTTTGTTTACATTGATAGATATTTGGTCTATATATATATATTTTGCAAAATAATTATCTGTTGCACATGTTGGTAATAATATTAAAGTGCTGATAAAAATATCAAAACCAAATACAACTATTTTGGTACAGAAAAATGGTCACCTACTATTTGTACTAAAAGACTACTAAAAAAGTCTAGCACCTATACGAAACATTAAATAGATACTTCTTTGTAGAATATACGAATTAAGACCTACGTTCTTTAAATTACCAAATACTTAAAATAAATATATTTTAATAATAACAAGTGAAAAACCGTTAAGTTCGGCCGGGCCGAACTTTGGATAACCTCCACCACCATAGGTATACTGACAGATACTTGAAATGAAAATATAGGGAACATACCAAAAAGTGAACCTATACCGTTAATTCTACAAACCGATTTATGTAAACCATTATGTACACTTTCAGCACAAATTTCAGCAATTTTTAATGAAACCCCCAAAGGACTGATGCTATTAACACATCTTAGAATATACAATTCTCAAACTATGTACTGCAATTTAGATTACAAAGTTAGATTACGTAGAGTAGGAATTATCGAATATTTGGGGTTATAATTATATAAGGGCTATGAATAATTAATGGCAGACATATGTTTCGAACCCAATATTTTTTATTTTGTGTCTCATGCTGGCCGATATATTTCATTGCCATCAGTCAGGTTCGAGTTTTTTATCACGATTTCCTTAGAAAGGGGAATGATTACAACCGATGGCTAAATCGTTTAAGAATTTCATAATTTGTGGGGTAAAACTGACTATTTCGGGTAACGACTATCCCCTATACTATGGTAGAATACACCTATTTGGAGACAACCCCTACACAAGGAACTAATCAGCTAACTATTTTAATATAAGAAGGTTATATGGGATCTACCCTTAAAAGGGGGCGAATATTAATAATTGTTGGTAGGAAGATTTGTTGCCATATGCGTATACAAAATACCATATTGCAGCGAATTCGGTTGATAACCGCGTTCGAGAAACCGAAATATCGAAAATTGGGGCCGCCCTTATATGGAGGCTACCCAAAAAATGTGCCTATATTTATAATTGTTAGTAAAGAAATTTGGTACCCAATAAGAACCCATTGTACCAAATTACAGCAAAATATATCTTAAATTAGGGGGTACCGTTATATGGGGGCTACCAGAAAAAGTGGACCGATAATTTGTAGTAGAGACATTTGTTACCTATTAAGAAACCATTGTACCAAATTTCAGCGAATTCGGTTGAAAAACACGCTACCGAAAATTGAACCGCAAACTATATCATTTTCCATGGAGACATTTGGTACCCCAAAATAACCCAATGTACCAAATTCAGAGAATTCGGTTGAAAAGCGCGCTTATATGGGGCCGAAAAACTGAAACTATATTTATCATTTTCCATGGAGACATTTGGTACCCCAAAATAACCCAATGTACCAAATTCACACAGCAGAATTCGGCTATATGAAACAGCGCGCGTTATCTGGGTTAAGTTATTTACCGTCGTACAGGTCAACGCATAAACTGACCAAGGTCAACATGAACTTATATAAGATACGATTTTGAAAATTCTGTTCTGTTATATTTATAAATGTCCACATTGGGGCTATGCCGCCTTTTTTGTGCTAGGCTATGATCTTTCCCAACAGCCCTCGTAGCTCACATCCAACTAGTATACCATCCAGCCTAGCTACCTTTTATACAAATTTCTATATCAAATTCGTTAGTTTATGATGTCATACTTTGTCATAGTACAATAAAATTACTTTTTTTAAGATTACATTTAATTAGTTTAAAAAATTCATTTATTTTTCTTTCATTTTCGTACTAAAATTTGTATTGTCAAACCTACAATCATCATTTATTTAAGTACTATGTTGCGCAGCACTGACATTATTTGATTGTGGTATAGGTGAGAGCCGGTATGAGTACGAGAGAATAGTTTATTGTTTATGGGATTTACCCCAAAAAACAAAAACAACAACAGCGGTGGATAATGTGAGAAAGAATGAGCGAGGAAAAAAACTATGTATACAAACCATACATCGTATGATGTTTGTTTACGTTTGCGTTGGATGAGGTGTTTTTTGTTTGAGGGTCTATTTGTGGGTCGGTCGGTCGGACGATGTTCGGAAGATTATTATAGTTGGCTTTCAAATGTTGTTTTATGATTTTTATTTTTTAATAAGAGTACTCGAAACATACTCTTCTCCGATTCTATCAGTAAATGGAATAAAAGAGAATCTGTCTGAAGAGATTAGCAAAAACACAAGTCTCGATTCGGTCTGGGATGGAAAATAATGACGTTATCTGGTTGGCAATGTTTTGTTATGATTGTGGTGGTGGGGGACAGGCAGACTACGAAGCAACACATGGCATGCTTTCTGCCGGTGGTTGTGATCACCTGTTTATTTTATTATTTCAATATAATATCTAAGGTGACCAGATAAATATTTTGTTTTTGTTTTATTGACTTACCTCAAACGTTTACGTTTCTCCATTAAATCACCATTCATGCGTTGACTGTCATTTTGCATTTTCTGGGGGAATTCATCGCCAGATTCTCCAGCTTCATGGCCATTGGTAACATCATTTTCGTCACCGACCTAAAATAAAAAAAAAATAGAAATGGAATTAGAATTGTATTTATGTAAAAAAATAATATTTTTCAATCTTATTCAAATATATTTATAATTATAATTGTTTATTTCAGAAATTATATTAACCATTACCCTAGCAATGTTTATATTTATTAATGTTATATTGAAAAAAAAAATGCAGAAACATACCTCTTCTACTTTATGGCCATTAAAAATTTTCTGAAACAGGCCGCCCTGTAATACAATATTTGGAAATTACTTGAAGTGTCAATAATGTATTGTACATATGTATGTATATAAATAGTAGGGATTATTTTTGACGGAAAAAATACTATGCGAATGGATATACAGTACATTTATAAGACGACACTGTATATAATTTATGTATATATATACCTAGATCTACTTAACACATGTTATATAATCATTGTCTTTGAATTTTATATTATATTTGAATATTAAAAAGCCCTAAGGTTTCATATATACGATCACTTCAGGATTAGATATGTTATTTCCAAGTGGGATGGTAGGTAGTGGAACTAATTATTGTCGTTGTGTAGAAGAGGAGACAAAATAATGTTGGTAATACATTTGGTGCAGAAAAAGGGTCACCTACTATTTGTATTAAAAATGTCCTATATTCGTAAAAGACTACAAAAAAAGTGTCTAACACCTATACGAAACATTAACAGCCTGTATATACGAATTCGAGTGACTTACGACCAAACCTTTATTTATGTTTATAAATTTTTTCTGATTCAAAAAAAAAATAAATTACATATTTTTCAAAACCAAGGAGTTTGGTCGTAAGTCACTCGAATTCGTTCGTTTGGAATTTTACAAAAACAGGCTGTAAATATATACTACTCTGTCGAATATGCGAATTAAGGTCTACGTTCTTTAAATTATAAAATACTAATAACAAAAATATATTTTATTAATATTTATTTATTTTTTTTTTTTTGTAGAAGATCAGTAAAAGGGATTTTCGATAGAAAACCTTTCAAAAAAACGTAAATAGTGAATATCCGTAAAAGTTCTGCGTCAGGACTACTTTTTGTGCAAACTTTTATGGGACAAGTTAGTAATGTAGACCCGTGCACATCGTATAAGAGAGTCGGAGTTGGGTGATATTGATCTGGACAACGTTTATATTATATTTAGAAAGACGGGCCAAGTAACGAAACCATCGTTTTATTACGGAAAAGGTGATTACACCAATTGGCCACAGATATTTTGCGATTTGTCTTCATTTACCGCATAGTAAAAAAAATAAGCCTACACCAACAGGACAATTGGAGGACAATTTTCAGAGAAAATATATTGTCTTCCTACCAGCAGTTGTAAATATTGGTTCAAATTTTTTACACATAATTTTCGATATGTTTAAGATTTCAAAATATTTTTTTTAAACAAAATTGAATCTAACTTGATGTTTTGAGTTCTCATTTGGTGGAAATGAGTCCATTTACTTTTCCCTAGCGCTGGATTGCAATAACGAAAAGATGCGAATTTTAAATTCTGAGACAATAGAACAATTGCAAAAATCTCGCATGCTAAGATACCCAAGTTGCGCCTTGTCCCGAAAGAACTCAAACAGTTGAACTGTCATAAGAACAAACCGAAAAGACTTTGAAAAAAACTTTCGGACTTGAACGAATTGTTCAAAGTCGATCTTAATTACAATTACACGGAAAGGAAAGCCGTGAGGCAGCAGTTATTAGAAGAAATGCATGCTAATTTGACTCGTACACAAGATTTTGGGACTAAAATAATCCCTTATCTTGCTTTTTGCGGAATAAAAAATGTAATTTATTAAAGGAGGCGGATGAAAATGCGACCTTATTTGGCATACGAACTGGATGTTGCCTATGCGAAGGCTCGATCAAACTAAAGTCAATCTCTTACATGGCTATTTCATTAATGAGTTATTATCCCGAACTGAGCATAGTCTAAAGGCTAAAAGAAAAGTAGAAACATATATATATTAATGATGATATCGAATATGAATTTTACGCAAGCAACTAACCTTTTTCAAAAACATGATATGTTGTCAATAAAATTATGGCGAAACCGATCATTTACTATTTTTATAAAAAAATATTTCTTTCAAAAATTATAAATATCGGTGCTATATATGGGTCCAGACCCTTTATAGGTATTTTGTGGTCCTTTAAAAACCAAGTAACGATTATATTTTGGCAACTTCTTCACATAACAATTTATAACATAAATATTTTCAATATAAATTCATCTTTCTATATATTAAGGTCACCATACGTCCCCTATTTTAAAGGACAAACATCTATTTTAAATGAATGATTTGTCATCTATATTGATTTTCAAATATTATAAAGCCTTAATATATTTTTGTAAATTAACTATATCATTTTAGAAATATATGTGTAGTTTGGTATTTCATTTTTTTCTGGAAGGAATTTACCATGGCATAGTTGCATATAATAAATATAACAAATGTCCATAAATAATTTGGGCATTTAATTGCGCACTTGATATTTATTATTCTAAGGCCCAATAATGCCTACAACGTTTTAGTTGTTTGCTGGGAATATTTGTATTGTTAAAATTGTTAATTATTTATATTTTCTGCCATGGATTATAGAAGGCTTTGATGATATCTTCTGTACATTACTGCATCTTCACTATTCACTATAAAATCCTTGTTCACAAAATTATCTCTCAAAAATCTATATTCACATTACACTGGATAATTTCTAAATCACTTCACTTAAAATCATCTCGTACTCATTTCACTAATCTTAAATATATCCTTAAATAGGTTAATAATTAATTATAATAATAATAAATAATTATAATAATAATTACTATTCACTTGATTTTTTTCTCTTATTCACTTCACTTACCAAAAAACTTGGTCGTTCATTATTTGAATTGCTCATCTTGATGTTATTATTATTCAATATTAATCTACGATTATTTGTATCACAATTATCCAATTGATCTTGTTGTTGTTGCGCAGCCTGATTGCTATCCAATTGTTTATTATCGTCCAGATTTAAACAATTGACACTGTCACAAATTGTATTATGATCGTCGTCTTCATCCACCTTAAAACTATCACTGGAGAATTGAACTTTTTTGATGCGGCCAGTCGATGCTGAAGAACTTAATTCTTGTGTGCAATTTTCTGAAATGAAAAGAGATGGTAGAAGGAAATAATCAAAAATGTGAAAATAAGAATAAAAACAAAAAAGTAGCTATAAAATAATAAATATCTTTAAAGGTACCCTGAGCCAGTTGGACTGGTGGTGGTGTTGATGCTATTGTTGGTGGAGGCGATGATGACGATGTTGTTAATGGTGCTGCTGCTGTAGTATGAATAAAATGTTGCTGCTGGCGACGCCTGGCAAAAGCAACTAACGTTACGATGAAGCTAAGCGTGATTATCAATGTTAATAACATCTGGAATATAATTTTAATTTCGTTTTGGGACAAGCTACGTCGTAGTTATGCCCTTATTATTGATTGTGCTGCTGCTCTTTTGCGACCGCTGTTGATAATTTTAGAAGATTTCTTCAAAGTCAATTGAATGTTGTTTTTGGAGTGAAGGGAGGGAGAGAGGGAGGAACTAGCAAAACATTAGGTGCAAAACGTGAGCGATCAAGCGGCGAGTAACTTTGTTTGCTTTGCTAAATAGTTCATATTGAGATAAGCCAATTGGTGTGTATGGGTGCGTGTAAGTGTGCGGGCGCACTGATCTGATGATTATTGTTGCGTGAGCTATGGAAGCCGCCACTGATTATTGTTATTATTATTATCATAGAAAGCCTGGCCTCATCAAATTGTTTGCAATTATTTTGTTCTGTTTTCAGTTTTGTTTTGCTTTGCTTTTCAAAAATAGTGAGCCGACATGTTGTTGTTGATAAGGCATTATCACCTGATCCACAGCGTAGTGGACACAACTATAAATAGAGAGAAAGAGAGAATGCAAAAAAAGAAAAGTTTGTTTGGAATTGATTTCAGATAACCATAAAAAAGTTCATTGCAAAAAAAATCGCAGCATAAGAAAACGAAATAATTTATTCATGGAATGGAAAATTATTATCAACAAACCAAAAAGAAAAATTGATAAGATTTGAGAAACAGGCCACACTTCTAAATTTGTGAGTGTCAGGCGTTTTTTTTATTGTCATATTATACCAATATAACATTTCCTCAATAATAAATTGCATATCACAAATGGAAAGGACCCTCACACACACACATTACATATCAGGTTTGACAGATACCACAATGCTTGCAAGTTGCATATTTGTTGATAAATCTGATATTGAAGGTCAGATTAAAGAGCCACCTTTTTTTGATAATAGGAATATTTTTCAGCAATCTCGTTATCAGCTTTGGATCTGGGGTGATTTTATGGTTACATAATGTATTTTTTTCACAAGAATAATATGCAAATCAAAAGACTAGGAACCACTCACATACCCAATGCTATAATTTTGGCCGATAAAAAAGAACACAGTCAAGGACAAAAAGTCTGATACAATGAGATCCTTCGTTAATTTGAACAAGAAAAAAATCACAGGCTTTTAACCAATCAACATCCAAGACTATGATTTTGGCTGATAAAAAAGAACACAGTCAAGGACAAAAAGTCTGATACAATGAGATCTTTCGTTAATTTGAACAAGAAAAAAATCACAGGCTTTCAACCAATCAACATTTGGAAATATGAAAAATATTTGTTTACTTTTTGAATATTGTAAATATTTGTGAAAATATCTGATTTGTGATATAAAAAAGTGTTTTGGTGTCCATATTGAACAGCTCCAAGAACCGCAATTGTCACAACAGAGTCAAACTCTCTATGTTTTTTTTTTTGCAAAAAGTCTCTTTTAATAGAAGACAAAAAATCTTTTTTTAAAGGCCGAAAAGACTTATAGAAGATATAAAGAATACCAAGCAATCGGTAATTTCTAAAATTTGGTTAGGCCACCAGATCCCATATATATCCGTCCACATGCTTTATTAAAATTAAATATGATCTTTAGACCGTCCTATCTATCAAAGAACTCGTGAATAACTTAGCAATTTTGTAATTGTGTAATTTTGCAATGCTTCGCAGCAAGAGACATCGACATATGAAGTATTTACACTCTAACGCATCCTGCCGAAGCTACCACACCTAACCCCACACTTTTTCTCGTTACTATGAACTGAAAACATCGCAGACATTTCTGGTTTCCACAATGACAAAAGTGAGTAGGTCATTGGATATCTCAACTAACATGCAAAAAATCTTCAAAATACCGAAAATTTGGGGGTTAGCGTTATATGGGGCCTATGTTGAAAATTTGACCAAAATTTGTGATAAGTTTTGATTATTACACCAAATCAATACCTAATTTATTACGCTGTCAAAAATTTTGTCTCAATCGAATAAATATTGGCAGCATGGTGCTTCATTTAAATAAAATCGATCGAACCGATTCCTTCAATACTTCGCATACATAAATTTTGACCTAATACAGTACGCTATGCAAAATCTTATGTCAATCGGCCTAAATTTCACTCTTTGGTGCTCCATTTACATAAAATCGGACGAACCTATATATGGGAGCAAATCTAAATCTGTACCGATTTCAACAAAACTTCGCATACATCAATCTGGACCTAAGTCAGTACTTTATGCATTCTGTATTCTGTGCAAAATTTTGTCTCAATCGGACCAATTTTGGCAGTATGGTGCTTCATTTTCATGAACTCGGGCGATTCTATATATGGGAGATATATCCAAATCTGAACCGATTTCAATAAAACTTGACATATATCAATTTGGACATAATTCTGTAATCTGTAAATGTTCTCTCAATCGGACCAATATTGGAAGTTTGGTGGAGTATTTACATAAAATCGGACGAAACTATATATGGAAGCTATATCTAAATCTGAAACGATTTTCTCCAATTTCAATAGGGTTCGTCCTTTGGTCAAATAAATGACATGTGCCAAATTTCATCCAAATCGGATCATAAATGCGACCTGTATTTTGTTCACAAAAATACATGGACGGACGGACAGACGGACATGCATAAATCGACTCAGGAAGCGATTCTTTGCATATTTTCAAAAGGAACCATGGGTCTATCTCGATTCCTTTTGCCTGTGAAGGGTATAAATACCGAAAATTTGCGGATAGCGTTATATGGGAGCTAACCAAAACCTGGACTTATACATTTTTAAGTTTCAATACCAAATAGCCTACGAGTAGTAACAATGTATGTGCAAAATTTCAAAGCTCTATCGTGATTTTTCAACGGACGGACATGCATAAATCGATATAGAATTTTATTCTGATCAGGAATATATGTATATACTTTATGGGGTCTCTCCCGACAATATTTCAAGGTTTCTGCGAAGAAGTCTTTCGGCTCCAAGATTTCCCAAATTAGTCACATCTTTTGGAAATTGTGGTCAAAATACAAAAAAAAAAAAAAAAACACTCCCAATGTATCCCAAATGCGCGCCCTATCCCAAAATGTGGACCAATATCGAAAATTTGCTGCCAGGAAATTTGTATTTCTGCGAAGAAGTCTTTCGGCTCCAAGATTTCCCAAATTAGTCACATCTTTTGGAAAATGTGGTCAAAATACCAAAAAAAAAAAAAAAAAACACTCCCAATGTATCCCAAATGCGCGCCCTATCCCAAAATGTGGACCAATATCGAAAATTTGTTGCCAGGAAATTTGTATTTTATTTGAAGAACCAAAATGTCAAATTACAAGTTGGAAAATGCAGCCAGAACTCCCATAATATCGAAAAAAATGGGAAACTATATCAAAATGTGAACCTACATTAAAATGTTTTCTCCCAGGAAGAATTTCTTCCTTTGGTTAATCACATTGCAAATTTAAAGTCACTTCGTTTGCAAAATGAGGCTAGGAATTCCAAAATACCGAAAATGGGTGTAGACTTTTATATAGGACTATGCCAAATTTTTATAGGTCTAGACCTTTATATAGAGCTATATAAAACATTCTCCGAAGGACAGGCTTTCGGAGCCTATATAGACCTCGAAAGCCTAATTGTAGCCACACCGGTTGAAATATGTAGCAAAACTCTCAAAAATTGAGAAACCAAAATGTGCGGGAAATATATTAAAAATGTAGGTCCAATATCAAAAGATGCGCAATAACAGACACTTTTATGTCATTTTATATTTTTCATGTTATGATCTTATTTGCGAACCACTTCAAACCAGATCAAACATAATTGTCCACTCTTCATGCCAATAGTTTTTATACTCCGATTAATTTATTTGCCATGAGATAAGGCAGCTAGCCAGTGAAACATTTCTTTTTCACATGCATAAGAAAACCCTGACCTTCATTATTTTCTTCAGACATACAACAGTGGTTATCAGCCACTTAGGAAAGATTTTTTTCGAAACTGGAAATATTATGTTGCTTATCAGAGAAGTAGTCCGAACATCCGATAACTGATTGTTATGGAAATTTTCATTATCAAAACAACTACGCATGACCCGGGAACATGGTATATTTAATTATAAGTATTATTATTCTATATGTTGTCGGGGGAAGTTAGTTCCAAACATAGACGATAATAAGTTAATATTATGGAATTTTACACACATATTAAATAAACTTTCCATTATCAGGTGTATATGTACATATACACACACACTCATACTTTTATACTAAAGTATATGTTGCATTCGTGTGTGTGCGAAAGATGGTCCGATTTATTATCAGAATTATAACATCCTATATATCATAATTTATATAGGTGGAAAAAGAAGTGACCAGACTTGTGTTAAAAAATAATAATAACAAGAAATAAACAAAACGAAAAATTCAAGTACGTACATGAATGGAATTGTTCCGCAATGATATCTAAAATTTTTTTAAGAACAATCTATTATTGAAAATGTTTATTAATCAATTGATGATTAACATAATCGAAATTAAAAAATATTTAACTGGCATAGGAACAATATTGTTATGGTTTAATGACGAATATTTTTAAAATGTTTAATCGTGGAAGTAACAAAATATATCAAGAAAAGATACAGTTAGAAAAATGTCAAAGACGTACGGAACCGATTTATTCAAATGCCTATAAATTAAAGTGTCAGATCTCAGTGTTGCAAGGGTACTGGGATGC